GGGTGTTGTGGTTTGGTGGTGACCCTGACCATCACAGGTTAGAGCAGGGGTGGGCAAACTTTTTGACTCGAGGGCCACAATGGGTTCTTAAACTGGACTCAGAAGGAGGAGCTGCGGCCGTGTTTCCCGACGTTGCCATGTTAACACTGCTGCTGGTGAAGGAGCGGAGAGGAGAGCAAGAGAACCCTCCGCTCTTTCGGCTCCGCGGGCCGGAGAGAACAGCCGAACGGGCTGGATCCAGCCCGCGGGCCGTAGTTTTCCCACGGCTGGTCTAGACTCTTTCCTTAGTTGAGAGCAACCTCCTTGCTCTTCAGTAAATGAAATGACATTCTTCACTTTGGGATTCATGTAATTAAGAGCTAAATATATTAACGCTTTACCTTCATCCCAGGATTTCCTGGAAAACCAGAAGAGCCAGGTATCCCAAGAGGACCCTATTAACAGAAACCAGAAAAGTGACCGGACATGTATCTTAATCAATATCTAAATAAGTCATCATTTAGTCTTTCACAAAATTCTGTACTTTGACACATAAGAATAATCCACTTAGTACTTTGAAATCACAAAAATAATAGTATATTTTAATACAAGTACCTACCAACACTGACATGAAATAGTGCCAAATCCTATTATGTCTAATACTCATGTCCACGGGTGTTAAACATAATAGGATCTCCTAGTCGAAGCATAGCAGATTGAGTCAGTCACAACCACAAATTGTTGAAAACAGTTGCTTAAGAAATGTATTTTTGCCCAGATGGTGTGGCCCAGTGGTTGAGCATCAACCTATGAACCAGGTGGTCATGGTTAGATTCCCGGTCAGGGCACATGCCCAGGTTGTGGACTGGATTCCCAGTTGGGAGTGGGTTAGGGAATTGTAGGAGGCAGCCAATCAATGATTCTTTCTCATGATTGATGTTTCTCTCTCTCCCTTTTCCCTTTCTCTGTGAGTCAATAAAAATATCTTAAAAAGATAAAGAGGTGGTTGGTTAAGAGTGAGACAGCACGGCAGGCCCTCCTGCAATCCGACCGCTGTCCTCACAGGAGAGCCTGGGACACTCAGAGAGGTGCCAGGGGTGCAGGGAGCAGAAGTTCACAGCTTTAATACAGTTCCTCATGTTGTGGTCACCCCCAATTTTCATTGTTAAGATTGAACATAATGAAAGCACAGTGATTAATCACAAAAACAATATGTAATTATAGATGTGTTTTCCGATGGTCTTAGGTGACCCCTGTGAAAGGGTCGTTCGACCCTCAAAGCTGAGACCCCCAGGTTGAGAACCGCTGCTCTAGAGTGAGTGTGTTCAGGCTAATAAGAAGCGGCTATCTGTCACTACCCAACACCTGGGAAGGGAGCACAGAGTTTAAACCAATGGCTTAAAGGCTGGATTGAAAGCATCTAGCGTAGGAGGAATTCCATTCTAGGCTACCTTGGTTCTTCTTTTAAGAACCATTAGCTTTTAATCCCACCAGTTTTGTGTTTTAAAAAACCCTTTTTAACTATAGTTACTTTGCTGCCTTTTTATAAATGACAAGGAAGAAAAGACCCCAAAGGCAAATAATTTCAAATCTATTTGCCCTCTGCGCATCTCCTGAGCTCGCCATGGTCTCCACCCACCCATCATGGGCCATGCTGTGTTCTTGCTCATTTACATGTTCCTCTCCAAGACTTAGCTTGGGGGTCGTTCCTCTTGAAGTTCCTTGACACCTTCTCCAGCTTCAGGAGCAGGTATTTTCTCCTCAGTGTCCCCAAACCTCAAGTCACAGTCTGTGCTACAGCAGCTAGCAATGGCCGTACGCTACTATATTGCCGTCTCTCTCCCTTGGTAGACAAGTCCATTTTCAAGGACAAGCACTGTGTGTTATCATCTTTTATTCCAAGTGCCTGGGCACAGTAGGCGCTCTGTAACGTCTGTGAGTGTGAAAGTAGAAAAATGCAGGAATGAATATGAAAATAATAAAACTCACCATCGGCCCGGGTTTTCCTGGCATACCGTGTGCACCTCGTTGTCCCTAATCAGGAGAAAAAGAGACGAGATTCTACTCTAATTGCTCATGATTCATTTGCTTTATAAAAATTTCCATGTTACAAATTAAAGAATAAATATAAACTAACAACAAACTTAACTAATAGAAATAAAAACACACATTTGCACAACACTGGTAAAGTAGAAATAAACCCATCTATCCTTATAGCAATGAGAAAGAGGAGACTGAAAGGAATGAAACTGATGAAAATCATTCTTTTCACTTGAATGTGTCACCATCTATCAAATTAGATCAAAGACAGTGGAATTTGAACATCTCTTTGCAGGCACATTAACGCAGAGGAGGAATGCACTCTTGTAAAAATAAAAATAAAATACAATGAATTGCACGCGCACACTAAGAGATTAAGTAGCAGTGGAAGCTGCGGGTGTCCCCCAGGTCCCTGTCCGCTGCTGGAAGCGGTGAGCTGAGGGCTCACAGTGGCCCCCAGGCTGCCCTCAGCGAGGAGAGGTTAGCTCTCCCAGGGCTGTGCCCCTCCCGTGCCCAGCACCGGGTACAGGAGAGACCCACCCAAGAGCTAGGAGCCCTCCCGCTGCATGGCTCTCATGACGGAGGACTTGCGGAGCCAGGTTCCTGCAGTTGTAACACCGGTTACTTTCTCCCTCTGACAAACCTGGCTCTTTTACTCCTTCTCCACCATGCAGCACCTGAAAGCCACCCAAGGATTTCCTGCACAGCCTGCTATGATGCTAGTTTCTGGGAAACCAGACCTAAGACTTCCATGGCACTGGTGCTAGAAGGAGCCTGAGAAGATAGACTCTCAGGTGGGATTGGGGATTCCTCACTGGCCACGTGGCGGCAGAGAGAGCGTGCCACTCTCCCCCCTCCCCCCCGCACGCTGTGGTGATGCAGGATCCTCTCCTGGCATGCACTGCGTGGGCCGCCCGGGTACGGGAAGGGGCTGTGGGTGTGGCAGCTCAGGCATGTGACAAGTTTGAGGTCGAGGCTGTCATACAAGTTGATGGCACTGCATGGGCCTTACTGAGTGAATCCAGCAAGTGGAAGGCTGATGGCGATTAACCAATATGAGGCTCCCTGGCAGCATTTAAAACACTGCCGTCTGCCACAGCCAGGGTGGGGGCTGAAGCTCAAACCCGTGACGTAACGACAGAAGTCTGAAAGCTCCTGAGGAGGTGTAATTCTAAACGTGTTTCGGCTCCTAGGCCGTGACCGGAGGCCTGGACTGGAAGGCATGGGCCTTGGCGTGGGCACGGGAACATCTGAAGAACTCTGCAGTTTCCGCACCCGGCAGCCCATGGGCCTGCAGACCGGCCCGGCCCCGCTTCTAACCGCACGTCTTCCTCCTCGCTCACCGGAGCCTGCTCTCCGACAGCACATGCCGCTGCCGCCGC